AATCTCCGGATACCAATCCGTTGGGCTATTGTGCCTGGAGTATTTTGGAAAGCAAGGTTGGCACTAAAAAACACCAAAGTGTCGATCACCTCAAACAAGTGATTCTCCGGGAATGGGCCAAAATACCGCAGAGCAACATAAGGTATTTGCACCATGATCTCGGAAACGTATTTTGTCCTTGGGGAACAGACCCGCGCATCCAGATATTTTACCAAAAATTCCAGGCCCAAGAAACGGGTTGAACATAATCGGCTCGTTCGGGTTCAAATACCCAAATCTCTGGATCCAAGATTGATAATAACACATATTGTAGCATTTCGGAAAGTTTATAGCCTCAACTATAATTTGGCATAAATTTTGTGGCCTCCCAAAATGAGGTCTTTGTCGAGTTTTGGGGAATTTTTAAAAAATCCAGGTGCAAACCTCCCCATGTCATCACTTGTTGGATTTTCATTAGCTTTTGATACCTATATGGTCCATATCAGTTTAGTAAGTACGGGTATAAATCGGGTCTTTGCCCCGGACTTTTGGGTCAAATATCCGGGTTCGTGCCCCAAGAAAAAATACTTTCCCAGGATCTGGGTGCAAATACCTTCCTCTGAAAAAAATTTCAAAAAATCCGAGAGATTTTACTAAACTAGAGTTAAGCCGAATATTGAAAGATCCTTTCCATTTCTACGAGAGTTGTATTTTTTTTCTTGGGGTCGATACCAAAATTTATTAAATGTTTACTAAATTGTTCCTCCAACATTTGCAATGATTCAAAATGCCAGCAATAATCTCCAATATCTAAAAACCTCTAGGCCTAACATAGGCACCCGAATTGGATTCAAATTGTACCAATTCAATAATACAATAATAAAACGTAATAACCAAACAATGCTGATTTGAATATTTTTTTCTTTCTTTCTTCTACTTACCTACCTCCAACACACGATGAAATTACGTTGTCAATAAATGATGACTGGCCGGCTGGCTGTCTTGCTGCCTAAAGAGGGTGGTGGTGGTCGTGGTGATGAAGATCAACAATTTCCAATTTGTCCACAAAAAACAAAACAATTAATGAATTTTTTTTTCGCAACACCAATCTAAGTTTTTATTGCAATTTTATGGTTTTTGTTTATTTTTACCTAAAGAAAAAAATCAAACTTTTTTTGAAAATCACTCTCCCCAATAGGTTCAAGAGAACTCACACAGGCACACAAAAATGCCTGTGGCGGCAGAGAGAGGGAGAGAGTAGAAGGTGGGGAAATGAGTGTTGTGTAAATGGAATGATTAGTGGAAAATGCAAAAAAAAAAAATCAAAACACAAAATTTTAATTTTTTCTCGATTTTCTTTTGATTCGGACAATTTCCAATTAGATTTTGAATCAAATAAGAAATATTCGTTTTTTCCTTCAAATTTAATATGCAAGACATTCACTTAAATATCATTGATTTCTTTTTTTTGAATATTAAATATTATATTGATTAATAATTTTTCTTATAAAACAAATTTTGTTTTTATAATTCTTTCTGTCGACGACAAGCTTTGCTTTGCTGAGTCAAACACACAGCCAGCCCCGTAATAAATATATGCGAAACACCAGCAAAGGAATGAACGAACGAACACAATCGTACACACAAACACAAGAAATACACCAACAACAAAAACAAATAGTATATAAAAAAAGATTGAACAAAAAAAAAAAGAAATATTAAAATTACACGGTACGGTCGCTCGGTATAAAGTGTAGCGGGAGTGTGTGAAGATTGAGGGGTAGGGGGCTCACACAATAGCGAAACGATTTGAACGAGGTAGCACCGATAAATCTCGCGCACTCGAGAAAAACACAACCGTCAGTAACGACCACAAAGAGTAGATTGACGACGCGCAACGACGACGATGTTGTGAAAAACACACAACAGCAAAAATCATCATCGTCGTCGCAGTCGTTGTCGTCGCCGTCTTCTTCTTCGTCGTCGTCCACTCCACACAAACAAAAAAATATGAATAAGAATAGCAACAACAAAATAAAGACGTCAATTGGAGAGGCTTGCAAGAGTAGAGTTGCCAAGTAAGTATTTTAAAGAAAACATGAAATGAGCGGGTTTTGGGGGAGAATTGGGTAATTTAACAGAATAAAGTTAATTATAATTGTTCATAGATGCGTCAATTTTATTACAAATAAATTAATAATTAATAATTTGTCAATAAAATTTAATAAAATTAAGAATAAAGCAAAAAATGTGATGGAATCGGATAATAAAATACAGATAGTGTATAAACAAGTATATAAACAAGGAAAATAGCATGGTACAATAAGGAGGTAAAACTGCAGAAATACTGCTCTGAGGCTATGCCCGCTTCCTGTCAGAATTATTCGAAATTATAGGCAAAAAGTTGTTTTAATTTATTTGATATTTTTTGTTCATTTCTAAAATGAGTCAAATAACGAGAAAGATGAATGAAACGCCTGGATATTCTCTCAAAAATAAGATCCTAAGTGTTCAATCCTTCAATTCCATGGTAAATCTCGTTTATATTATTAATGCGCGCCCCAAAATTTACGTTTCTTCTAATCATTGATTTTGAAAATATTTTGTTTTAATTTTTCAAAACAACAAATACTTACACAAAATTGGCAGAAGTCGGACACACTTAGAAAAAATTGTAATCAGCTGGGAGCTCTACCTTACCTTTTTATTGTACCATGGAAAATAGTATCATTCGGTTTTGCCGACAGATGTATACCCCCATCCTTAAGTTACAATTATTCCCACTGTTGACATTTTATGGGGGAGGTTCCGCAGCAGTTGGGCAATATTGACCTAAGACGGATATAAATATTACCACGGTATGTGCAAAATTTAAAGGAAATCGAACATTTTTATCCAATTTTATACGAAATCATAAATTCCGATTAATTACATATTCACATCAGATTTCTGGCTTAGGGAAAATTAAGATATATGTATTGGAAACTGTGAACCTTTTTGGTTGAGGTACCAGAAGGGGTTGGCAGATATATATCATCTTAACAACAGATCTTGCGTTAACAAAAATGTTTGGATGTGTGAAACTTGAAGAGAGTTGGATGCTTATTTCGCGTTTTGTTTATTAAAATTATGAACCCTTTATGGGGGAGGTACCAGAAGGAGTGGCCCGATATAACCCATCTTCACCGCAAGTCGTGCGTCCGTAAAAATAATGACATGTATGAAATTTGAAGGGAACAGGATGTTTATACCGGATTTTATGAACGTTTTGGTTATTGAAAATTTTGACTCTTTGTGGGGTAGGTATCAGAAGAAATGGTCGATATCTACCATCTTTATAACAGATCTTGTGATGATGGAAATATTGAGATGTACCAAGTCTGAATGGAATCGGATGTTTATTTCACGTTTTATGAGCTTCATAAATATTAAAAATGTTGAACCCTTTGTGGGGGAGGTACAAAAAAGAGTTCGCCAATATATCCCATTTTCAGAGCAGATCTTGTGTTAGTAAAAATAAAGGAATGTGTGAAATATGAAGAGAACCGGATGCTTATTTCGGATTTCATGATCGTTTTGGTTATTCAAAATGTTATCCCTTTGTGGGGGAGACACCAGAAGGATTGGTCCGATCTCTACCATCTTTATACCAGATCTTGCGTTGATGGAAATATTGAGATATGCCGAGTCTGAATGAAATCGGATGTTAGTTTAACGTCTTTGATCCTTTGTGGGGGAGGTACCAGAAGGAGTGGACCGATATAATCCATCTTCACATCAGATCTTGGATTAATAAAAATATAGTGATGTGTGTAATGATGTGAAGACAATGGTACTCTTGCATCACATTTTATAAGAGTTATAATTATTCAAAATTTTCACCCTTTGTGGGGGATGTACATGATGGAGTGAACCTATATTGTCCATTTTCGCACCTGACCTAGCACTGATACAAATATTAGGATTTAAAGAGTTGGAGCAACATCGTATAATCCTTTTTTTCTCTGTGCAATAAAATTTATTTTGTCCATACAGTCTGACACAGCAGGTTTTTATAAATTTGGGGATTTTTCTTCATACCATACTTTTTACGTCCCAATTTTTCCAAAAACTAAAAACTATTTTAATAAAAATTATAATTTTCGTTTCTACTTAGAAGTCAAAATTTTTTTCCTAGCTATTTTTTTTTTTAAAAAAATTTAAAACTAAACTTTGAAGAAAAGTTATGTTTGGTGCTACTTCAATTCTTGTTAGCCCTAGTCTAGTAAAACTTTTTTTGAAATTTTTCATGAAGTTGGTAGTGGTATCCTGATTTCGGCAAAGTATTTGTTCTTAGGGACGGACCGATTGTTATAACCAAAGTTTTTCAATATTTTATTTATTTGTTATTATTTTTTATTTATTTGTTATTATTTTTTATTTATTTATTTTATTTTTTTTAATTGTTAATTTTGATTATTATTTGATTTACAAACGCAATAATTGAAATTTAAAATGAAAATTTTCTTATAAATTTGTATTGCAAATGCAATTATTCGTATTTAAATCAGAATTCAATGAATTGCCAAGAGATTTTCGAATTATTAATGAAATTTTACAAATTTTAACTAAATAGTGCAACAGTTAGTTTCACATCTGCTATCAAAATCACTTGACTAACCCTATAATTTATTGCATGGCAACACTGCTGGGAGAAAAGAAGAGCAAACGGGCTCCCACAAAAATTGAGATAAAATGAGAGCAACACAAAATAAACAATTATTCCGTAAAACAAAATATTATGATAAAATGCGTATTTCTACAAAAGTTATCTTTACTTTTGAGCGAAAAACAAAAATTTTCATATTTAATTGCACAAAGGACAAACAAAACATTAATATTGCACTCAACAAGTTTTCCATCAATATGCCATTGCCTCCCCATTCCCAGACTTTACTACTACCTTTTAAGGCAACTGTGCAACTTTGACAGCTACAAGTACTTGTGTTTTTCTTTTCTTTTTTCTCCTGTGATTAACTCACCTACGCTTTTGTATTTCTCTTTCTTTTTTTCTCCAACTTATCTTGTGTGCAATTTTATCAGTTCGCCTGCCTTTTTTGCACTGTGATTCGTAGTTTATTTTACGTTTTTTTTTTCTTGTTCTTTTCTTTTAGATTGTTCGCACACACAAAATATATGCGAAGAAATTCCTTTACACACAAAACCGCACAAATTGACGAATGTCTTGTTTTTATTTCTTCTCTTTGTTTATTTAATTAAAATTCACTTTCGTTTCGTTACTATAAAAAAAAATGTTTTCAATGTCAACTTTATTTGGAGAATATTCTTCCGCTTCTTTTTTTGCCTTTTCTTTATATTGCACGTTATTCGCTCTATTGAGATACGCTATAGATCTTTAAAGTCCATTCCTCCTATTGTCTTGCCAGGCACAATCAATTCTCGTTTTTATTTTAATTTAATTTCAAATTTGTTATATTTGCACTTGTTTCTTGGTTTTTCTTATTGGTCTAATAGTTTTTTTTTTTAATTAGAATTTGTTTGTATATGTTCGTTTCGCCTTTATATGGCCAGAATTTTCTTATTTCACTGATAGGGAGAAGCAACAATTTGTAACTGCACTGACTGTGTTCGTTGTATACGAAAGCTGCCGTCTATGAAAATGTGCAAAAAAAAACATATGCAGAGAGCCTACCCAAATAAAAAGTGTTCAGAGTATAAGGGGGGTTGCGTGCATGAGTTCAGCGTTTGAAATATATTGTGCGATAAGAAAATGTAGGGAAATTAAAGTTTATGTTAAAAATGCTAAATTATATTATATTATTAAACTAAGGTATTCTTTTAAAATGTATATAAAGTTAATATTTTATGGAAAAGGTTTTCTTCTTATGAATCATGGTAGAAGAATATAGGTAGACGCATCGACACAGCTGCTGGGACAATGAACTGTCAAAATTAATTTTGGAATTTAAAATGTTGAATGAAAAATTATTTAAATTTGAAGAAATTATTGATAAACGCGTATTATAATAATCTGCGAATGACGTCGTATAAGAAAACATATAAAAATCTATTTATATTCGAAATAACATTTAATATTTTTTGACAGATCAATATTTCCAAATGTTGATGTGTTCTTCTATCATGTTATGAATATTGCAAATATTATCAGCCATGCATCTTTATTTACAAAACATGTCAATCAATAAAAAAAGGCGATCCTAAGACATGGAATGTATTTCTATGCAAGAATTCTGGAATTAAGATTTTTTTTGCGTCAACAAAACATTTGGAAATTTTTATATTTTGTGATCTAGGTTTACAGAAGATGAGTCCACAAATCTTCTGAAGTTAGTCAGTTTGGTTTGGAATGGTTTTTTGGCCCTTGGGTATGTATTCTTGTTCTGAAGAAGAACCGAATCAGCGGGAGATATCCTGAGGTCTTCTAAAGGTTAAAGAAGACTTTGAGGTCTTCTATTGGTTAGAGAAGACCTTGAGGTCTTCTATTGTCTATTGTGATTCTTTGGATGTGCGTGTCTCTTGGGCGCCATCGAAAAGTAGCTCGTTCCTTTATTCATTCGTCCTCCATGCCTTGAAAATTAGGCAAGGTATGCAGTTGGAAAGAAGAGAGGAGAACTTGCCAAGTCTACAATTACTTAGAAGAAGAATTATTTGTAAAATAAATGAGGCGTGGAGTTGCCAGTGATTCATTGCCGGGTGAGTAGTCCATAAAACGTCGGCGTAACTGCTGGGTGCCATTAGAAATTATCTCGTTTCCCATGCATTATCGAGCCTTTGAGGTGTTATTCTTTGGTCTCTTGGGATTAAACTACTTAGGAGTCCCCTTTGAGTATTCGTGACTCTTGGATCCTCCATAGGAACACCATTGAAGATCTAATGGTTCTCTTAAGTCCCCCGAATATTAGGCCTTTAGGATGTGGTTGTAACTCTCTGGGAAGAGGGAAGACTTCCCAGGTCTTCTTGTCACAATTACCTAAGAGTATTTATGTAGGAACCGAAACTAGTCGGATTGAATGGTGTCAGTTAACTTATCTATCAAAAAAGCCAATTCGTATACATTTTACAGTGTTCCTTACTGTAGACTCCCTTGAAATATTAACCCATTTGCATTAGTGCTAAGTCAGGTGTGATAGTCAACAAAATCGGTCCACTCTATCTAGTACCTCCGCCACAAAGGGTCAAAATTTTGAGTATCCATGAAGCTCATAATACGCGAAATAAAAATTCGATTCCATTCAGACTTGGCACATCTCAATATTTCCATCAGCACAAGATCTGTTATAAAGATGGTACAGATCGGACCATTTCTTCTGGTACCTCCCCCACATAGGGTTCAAGATTTTTGAAAAACAAAACGCTAAAAAAATGCGGAATAAGCATCCAAATCCATCGATCCAACTCCTCAAATTTTCCACATTCAAGCATTTTTGCTAACACAAGAACTGTCGGGAGGTGTTAAAGAGCCATAATTTTTCAAAAAAATTCGGAAATAGCATAAAATTTTAGAATAAGTTTAGATTTGTTCGAATTGGTCACCTTTGGCACGAATTATGGCCTTCAAACGGCCAAATGAAGACGTCATGTTGTTGTTCTGCGGTATTTTGACCCATTCCCGGCGAAGCGCTTGCTTGAGGTGATCCGACACTTTGGTACATTCTAGTGCCAACCTTGGTTTCTAAAATACTCCAGACACAATAGTCCAACGAATTGGTATCCGGAAATTTTGGTGGTCATTGTGCGCTGGAAATGAAGCGAGGAACCTCATTTTGTGACCATTCTTGGGAGGCGAGTGCTGAGTCCTGTTGGAATGTCCAAGGTCTGCGGCCAAAATGTTTGCGTGCCCAAGGCTTTAATACACCCTCCAGAATATTTTCGCGATAATATTCGGTATTTATTCTGATGCCACGGTCGATTAATACGAGCGAAGAGCGAGCATCGGTTGTTATGCCGACCCACACCATCAACATGGCCGGCGATTGAGTTCTGGTGGCCAACCGAAGGTGCACATTTTAAGCTGTGCTCTTTGGCTCTTTGGCAAGTAAACACGATCATTATGTTTGTTTACAAACTGCTGGACAACGAATGTTTTCTCATCGGAGAAAACCAAATTCAGCAGTTCACCACTTTCTGCCAAGCGAAGCAACTCTTTAGCTCTTTTCAGTCTATTTTCTTTCTGTTGCGGTGTAAGTTCTTGCACTTTTTGAAATTTCAATGGCTTTACCCCGAGCTCATTTTTCAATATTTGCCGAATAGAATATTGTGATATGTTCAGCTCACAAGCCACTGCGACGGGGTTTCGATCATGTTGCTTCTTTACTTTTCGAACCATTTCTGCTGATGTTGTTGTTTTCTTCCGTCCACTTCCTTGACGTCGGGCTACGATACCAGTACCACGGTAATGAGCGATGGTACGAGACACAAAAGATTTATTCACATTTAAATTCTGGAGTGCCCTAACGTAGCCACTTGTGGTTTTCCAGCCAAATATAAAGAAATCACGCATCACGCCCAATTACAGTTGTCGTTTTTATAGTCGTCGTCGCAAGTCGCCCTCGCAGTCGCTTCGATTCAAAAATGTATTACGGTAAGGCTTGGAGCGACATCGACAGTTTAAAATAAAAGTTGGCAACAAATAAAAAAAGCGTTGGCAACACTCCCTTGTTATTGACAAAATTATATAAAAATTTGTTTGTATTTTGAAGTCTAATTTCGTCTCTTTCGGAAAAATAAAAACTATAGTAAAAACCAGTAAAAAGTCCTAAAGTCGGTTCGTACATGTATTGCCCATTTCGTGCACAATTAATTTGAAATCGGATAAAGATATATATGGGAGCTATATCCAAATCTGAACCGATCTCGATAAAATTTGGCAAAGATATTTCTGAATTGTATTTGATATGTTTCCCTGAATATCGTTGTTACGGAGTGCATATTACGGCTGTGGGTTACAAATATAACAAATCGGATGAACAACATATATAGGAGCTATAACTATATCTGAACCGATCTTCACCAAATTTGGCATACTACCTTCTAGACTCAATTCGATCGTATGTGCCAAATCCCATTTGGCCAAATATTAGACGTTTGGTGCACAATAAAAGGTAAATCGGACGAAGTTATATATTGGAGCTATATCCAAATCTAAACCGATCTCGATAAAATTTAGCAAAGGTATTTATGAGCTGCATTTGATATATTTCCCCAAATATTGTTATTACAAAGTGCATATTACGGCTGCGGAGCACAAAAATAACAAATCGGATGAACAATATATATGGTAACTATAGCTATATCTTAACCGATTTCGATAAAATTTTGCATACTTATTTTCAGGCCTAATTTGGTTGTATGTGCAAAATTCCATACTATTCGGGCTGATATTACACGTTTGGTGCATAATAAAAGGCAAATCGGACGAAGATATATATGGGAGCTATATTTAAATTTTTACCGATTATCTCCAATTTCAATAGGGTTCCTCCTTGGGCCAAACAAATGGCTTGTGTAAAATTTCATCTCAATCGGATAATAAATGCGAACTGCATTTTATTCACAAGAATACATGGACGGACTGACTAAATCCACTCAGAAATTGATTCTATGGAGATCTTCAAAAGTAACTATGGGTCTATCTCGCTTCCTTCTCCATGTAAAAAACAAATGTACAAAGACATAATACCCTTATCAGGGTATAAAAATTATTTCCCAATAGCAAATTCATTTCCCAATTTACACAAATTAAATAAAACCCCATTAAATAAATTTTAATAACAATTTGTTTATTATTATCATTATTTACAATTTAAACACACTTTTTTTCGTTTTGTTCTTCTTTCTTGTTTTTGTTTTTTTATAGATATATAATTATATCATACACAGTTACATAGTAATATTTAAAAAAAATCATATTTTTTTATCAATCACAATTATATAATAGACAATATTATTCACTTCTTTTTTTTCGAAATATAGGTTATGTAGAAGTAGTAGTAGTTGTTTTTGTTTGTGGTTGTAGTAGTTGTTGTGGCTCTTGTGAAAGTCGAAAAACAATTAATTTTGTAATCTAATCATTAATTTTGGTTTGCCATATATTTTGTTTATTTGATAAATTAGCATAAATTCTCAGAATTTCGAAATATCATGTAGATCTATGTATATTTTTAATATAATTTTTTTTGTTATATATATATGCATGTGTAAATTCATGACAAAAAATCTAAAACAATATCTTTCACATGGTTTTTTTCTTTTGGATAAGTTCATTTTTTTCTCGTTTTTTATTTTTGTTTTCTTTTTTGGTGTAAATTTGCTTTTTACAGAAATACAAAAAAAGGATATTCAATTTGAAATATTATTGTCTCACATTGTGCGCGTGTGGCCGTGAAAAATGGTATTCAATGTGTGTAAAAGCGGGTGGGTGGGTGATGAACTGGAAAAGGAGTATTTGAAAAAACATTCAATGGGTCAGTCGTGGAAAGTTATTTGGAAAACAGAAAAAAAAACTTTTTAATTGTTTATCTTTCTTTCTTAAAACCTCCCATCTTTGACTTTAAAATTAAACTATAAAATGACAATTTTTTGGAGGGGTATAAACAAAAAACCTGGATATTTTTGGAACAAAAATGAAAACAATATTTACAAAAAGATTAAAAAAAGAAAGAATTTTTTCTTAGAGAAAATTTAAGGAGACAAAAGATGTGAAACAAAAGCCTATAAAATATTATTTATCTAACTAAAATATTTTGTAAACATTTCAATTAGATGACCAAATAATGTAAAGAGGAAGAAAAGGTTCACAGATTTAATTGACTAAAACAAAACAGAACTAGTATACAAAAAAGGAAACTTTCAAAGTCTCTTCGATTTGTAATTAATTGTTTAACTTAGGTAATTGTTTGTAATTTTTGTGGCTTAAAAACTAATAAATCAACAATGAAAAATTACAATAATAATAATAATAATAGATTTGGGCTTTCTTGATAGCTCTGCTAGGCAAATAAAAACTTTATGGCGGACGTACATAGTGGCGGCGGTGTGGTTTTGCAAAATTAATTATGATGTGAATTGCCACCCTCCCGTCCCCTCTTCAGATGAAATAAATCGCGCAGCAATTCTTTAATAAAATCATATGTCGAAAAACTAATGCCCACCGCAATGGGTCCTTTTATCCAGTTCATACTTAAGCCTTTATAGAAGCCATTTTTAATACCTTCCTCCCTGAAAACCAAAAAAAAATATATATTATTATTAAATGAATGAGAAGTTATCCTTCCGGAACTTACCTATAAATTGTCTTTAGCGTCACAAATATACTGGGATATTTGTTGTGCCCATCTTTGGTTACGCCCATTGTTTGCATACGTCTTCGCACAATATCCAATGGATAGCTTGAGGTTTGGCCAACAGCACCAGCTGCTGCACCAAATGCCAGTGATGTCAGAGTATTTAGTTTACTATTACCAGTCATTTCTGTAAGTGAAAATAAAACGTATTACATTTTTTGTTGTTTATTTTTATAGCCTCAGCCATATGGCTAGAGAGATATAGGTATATATCATTTGATACGACCAAAAAGTGCCCGGTTTAAAACCCTAGGTATCTTTGGACCAAATCCATATCAGGACATTTGGAGTCGATCTAGCTATGTCCGTCTGTTCGGACAAACTTTGGCTCATCGTAATATTATTGTCAAACTTAGACAATACTCCTTCTGGTACCTCCTCCCTCATAAAATGTCATCATTTTCAAGGAAAATATTTTACTGCTCAGCAAGAGAAAGGATAACCCGTTTTTACTCCAATTTTGCATATCCTAATATTTACATCAGTGCTAGGTTAGGTGCGAAAATAGACAATATCGGTCCTCCCCCACAAAAGATCAAAATTTTGAGTAATTACAGAGTGAGATGAAAAAACCAACTTTAGACTGCTGTAATTTCTAAGCCACTCATCCGATAGCTGTTAAAATTATTCCAGTGACAGCTCAATATATTGTCTACAAGCGTAGAAAAGCATTTTGGTGAGAATTTTCCAGAAAAAAAGTTATTCGGATGGAATTCGTGATTTCTTTATATTTTGCTCGAAAGCCACAAGTGGCTATCGTTAGACCACTCCAGCATTTAAATGTGAATAAATCTTTTGTGTCTCGTACCATCGCTCGTTGGCGTGATACTGGTAGAGTAACCCGACGTCAAGGAAGTGGACGGAAGAAAACAGCAACATCAGCAGAAATGGTTCGAAAAGTAAAAAAAGCGACTTGATCGAAACCAGCGTCGCAGTGGCCGAAAAATGGCTCGTGAGCTGAACAAATTGCAATATTCCATTCGGCAAATATTGAAAAATGAGTTCGAGGTAAAGCCATTTAAATTCCAAAGAGTGCATGAACTTACACCGCAACAGAAAGAAAATAGACTCAAAAGAGCTAAAGAGTTGCCTCGCTGGGCCGAAAGTGGTGAACTGCCGAATTTGGTTTTTAAATTACACACATCACAATATATTTTTTAAACCAAGGTATGGTGTGAAGATGGAATATTTATCGGTCCACTTGTTCTGCTACCTCCCCCACAAAGGGTCAAATTTTTGAATATCCATGAAGCTCATAAAACGTGAAATTAACATTGGATTTCATTCAAACTTGGTACATTTCAATATTTCCATCACACAAGATCTGTTATAAAGATGCTAGAGATCGGTCCATTCCTTCTGGTACCTTCCCCACAAGGCGTCAACATTTTTAATAACAAAAATGATTATAAACTTCGAAATTAGCCTCCGGTTATCTTCACATTTCAACACAAGATCTGGTGTGAAGATGGGATCTAGCGGTCCACTTCTTCTGCTACCTCCCCCACCAAGCTTCGACATTTTGAATATCCATGAAGCTCATAAAACGTGAAATTAACATTCGATTCTATTCAGACTTGGCACATCTCAATACTTCTATCAACACAAGATCTGTTATATAAAGATCGTGTACCTCCTCCACATAGGGTTCCAGAAATACCAAACGCTTAAAGAAAGCGAAATAAGCAACATCTGTTGTGAAGGTGATATATGTATCTGCGAACCCCTTCTGGTACCACAATTTTTAATACTTTTATCTGTCATAACTTGCGAAACAAGCCGCCGATTCTTTACATCTTGCTGTATTTATATATATTTCTCTCAACCTGAAACCTGAGATAAATATGGAATTTATGATTTCGCATAAAATTGAATATAAATGTTCGATTTTCTTGTAATTTTGCCCATACCAATAGTTTTATCTGTATTAGACGAAATATGAAAATGGAATACTTCGGTCGATATATCTGGTACCTCACGCAGATTTTAACGGGGATTTCTAGAAATTATCACATATCTTATATAAAGTGAAGGAGGTAGTCTATATATTCCAAACCTGGCTCTTACCACTATTTATTTAGGTCCGATATGAAAGGGACAATATTGATCCATTCCTTCGGAATCTACTCCATAGAGGGTCAACAATTTGAATAATCATAACAGAAGTCTAAATATATTTCAATAATCGAACATTGGCTGAGGGCATATATTTGTTGGAAAAAACGGCTGATAATTTTTAACTTGTTTTATGTGAATATTAGCAAAATTCGCTTTAGTACTAAAGGCTGTAACTCAAAATCGGCGTCGTATCCATTATTTAACTACCCAAAAGCGTTAAAAGGGTATTTTGAACCAGTAAAGAAAGTCCTAAAGTCGGGCTAGGCCGATATATTTGATCTATTTCCCTGAATATTGTTGTTACAGAGTGCATATTACGGCTGCGGAGGACAAAAATAACAAATCTGATGAACAATATATATGGGAGCTATAGCTATATCTGAACCGATTTCGATCAAATTTGGCATACTTATTTTCACACCTAATTTGGTTGTATATGCAAAATTCCATACTATTCGGGCTGATATTACACGTTTGGTGCACAATGAAAGACAAATCGGACGAAGATATATATGGGAGCAATATCTAAATTTTTACCGATTATCTCCAATTTCAATAGGGTTCGCCCTTGCGTCAAACAAATGATTTGTGCAAAATTTCATCTGGATCGGGCAATAAATGCGAACTGTACTTCGTTTACACAAATACATGGACAGACGGACGGACGGACATGCATAAATCGACTCAGAATGTGAATCTATGCAGATCTTCAAAAGGAACTATGGGTCTATCTCGTTTCCTTTTGCCTGTTACAAACAAATGCGCAAAGACATAATACCTGACCACCTTGTGGTGTAGGGTATACAAATGCATGTTTCATTCTCCCTCTTTCTACACGTATACTAGGGTCTAAAATCAAACAGCTTTTCCTTCCAGAATTTTTAATGACGATAAAAAACCAAAGTCTTTTTCATATCGGGCTGCCCTTCAAAACCATAGACCTAGTTCATCCCCTCAACTTACCCGTGTATTCACGTTTCAATGTTTCGTAGGTGAAAAATGATGTGCCCGCATAGGGAATAACACCCAGAACAGTTGCCCAATAGCCTCTGTACAGGGTGCGGGGTCCTTCCTCTATCCATATTTTAACAAATACTTGACGTAATGTTCTAAAGACATAGCAACAGCAAGAGAAACAAAAAACGACATATTATCAAGAGGATAATGCAAACATATTTCAATAATGGACGTTACTTGTAGCCTGTGTATTTGTCTGTGACAGCCATGCGGGCTCTGGCCAAATCCAAAGGATAGGTCAAGGACTGTGATGTAATACCTGCCAGAGAGCCGGCAATAAATCGTCTTGCTTTGGTACTAGAAAAAAAAGAAAACACAAAATAAAACGAATTAAAAAAATATTCTGCATAGATGCAATAGTTTGTAAAAAGTTATGAAAACACACAGAAACAAGTGAAGGTTTTTTCCATTGCTTTTTGTCTCAACCTACTCTGTGCCATCTTTGTCGACGGAAAGTATTTTCCGCCACTGTTCGTGAGCGGTAAACTGTATGGCAGCATAAGGCACAATGCGAGCCATGGTAGCGGAGTTGCCGCGCCATAATGCCAACACCCCTTCTTTGGCATAGGTTTGTTTGAGGAATAAAATGGCACCGTTTAAGGAATAGCGTACAGATTTACTGGAATCAAAGAGACAACAACAACGGATTAGTTATTTTCTTCGAAGGATATAAATTGTAGTGCCGTAACCATAGATAAACGTTTTTTTTTGGCTACTTACTTTATTTGAAAATTGATTTTCGTCCTATCCAGCGGAGCAATAACTGTTTTGGCCAAGGCTCCAGCTGCTGCACCAGCCGTTAAACTCATTATGACGGCATCGAAATTTGTACTAGCTGGACGAGAGGAAGAGAAAGAGAGCTATTTAATTTCACATTTGGCTGTTATCCAAAACATCTTCGACTTACCCTTAACATCTTTTGTCTGAGTGGCGGCATTTTCATTTATTTTGGAGGTGGTGTTCGGTGTTGCTGTTGTTGTTGTGGCTGTTGCGGCGGCTGTATTGGTGGCATTTAAATTGGCATTGGTGGTAACTGTTACGGCGGCGGCTGCTGTTGTCGATAGTTGACCACTAGTAGTCTTAATGGGCATCGCAATATTTGGCTTCTCCAAAAGATGGCTCATTGGAGACTGCAAGGGAAAAGAAGAAGGATACAAGATTATTATGGATGGGACATTAAAGGAAGACTAGTTAGGTAAAATATAGAGAACTTAAATTACTAAAAAAAGAGATAAAAAGAATAACGACTCCAAAGGACATTAAAGGAAGACTAGTATAGGTAAAATATTGAGAACTTAAATTACATAAAAGAGATAAAAAGAATAACGACTCCAAAGTTTCCGTTTTTATACACTCAGCCATATGACTAGAGGGGGCCAAAACTTGCCTCATCGAAATAATGGTTTTAGACCCTAGGTCTCTTTAGACCAAATCCATTTCAGGACATGTACAGTCGATCTAGCGATGTCCGCCCGTCTGTTTGGCTGGCTGGAGCGTACAATAACTCTCGAAGGGAGTATCCGATTTGGTCCAAACTTGGTACATCGTAATATTTTTGTCAAACTTAGGACGAGTTCGGAGATGGGCAATATCGGTCCACTCTTTCCGGTAGCTACCCCACAAAAGATCAAAATTTTCAAAAAATCAATTATCTGCCCAGAAATAGAAACGATAATCCGATTTTGCTCCAACTTTGCAAATCCCAATATTTGCATCAGTGCTAGGTCAGGTGGGAAAATGGACAATATGGTACCTACCACCAAAAGGGTCAAAATTTTGAAAAATCATTGAGCTCATAAAACTGGAAATTAACATCAGATTCGATTCAGACGTGGCACATCAAAATATTTCCATCAACACAAGATCTGTTATAAAGATAATAGAGATCGGATCATTCCTTCTTGTACCTCCTCCACAAAGGGTCAAAGTTTTGAATAACAAAAACAATAATAAAATCCGAAAAAAAGCATCTCTTCAAATTGCACACACCACATTATTTTTATTAGCATTTTTTTATTTGTGAAGTTGGGATATATCAGTGTACTCCTTCTGGTACCTCCCCCACAAAGAGCCAAAATTTTGAATAATTATGAAGCTCATAAAACACGAAATTAACATCTGATTCCATTCAGACTTGGCACATCTCAATATTTCCATCAACACAAGATCTGTTATAAAGATGGTAGAGATCGCACCATTTCTTCGTGTACCTCCCCCACAAAGGGGGAGGATGATCATAAAATGCAAAATAAGCATCGGGTTCTCTTCAAATTACACAAATCACAATATTTTTATTGATCCAAGGTCTGGTGTGAAGATGAGATATATCGGTCCACTCCTTCTGGTACCTCCCCCACAAAGAGTCAAAATTATGAATAATCATGAAGCTCTTAAAACGGGAAAATAACATCCGATTCGATTCAGACTTGGCACATCTCAATATTTCTATCAACTCAAGATCTGTTCTAAAAATGCTACAGATCGGGTTCAAGATTATGAAAATCAAAACGCTTAAAGAAGGCGAAATAAGCATCAAATTCTCTTTAAATTTCACACAGGCAAAGATTTTTGCTAACACAAGATCTATTGTGAAAACAATATATATCTGCCAACCCCTTCTGGTACCTCACCCACAATTTCCAATACTTATGTAATTTATCGGAATTTATGATTTCGCATTAAATTGGATATGAATGTTCGATTTCCTTCAAATCTGTATTATATGAAGTATGAAAATGGATTACTTCGGTGCGCTATATCTGTTACCTCATGCATATATCCACATTTTCCAAAAATTTGCACATATTTCATATAAAGTATAGGAAGTAGTCGATATAGTCCAAATCTCGCACGTTGTAATATTTATATCAGTGTTAGATCAGATACAAAAATAATCAGTGTTGACTTACTACTTCGGAACCTCCCCCATAAAGGGTCAACAGTTTGAATAATCATAACTCAAGGCTGGGGGTATACATCTTCTGTCAGTAAAACCAACTGATACTCTTTTACTTGTTACTTGACACCCAAGACATAAAATTAAAAATGTGTAGCATGATTTTAGGCGTTTGAAATAAAAACGTTATTTAGGCAGTTTTCTTTAATCTGCTGATTAAAATGATAATCTTAATGTATTTTCGGAGGGCCTAAGTTGGTGTTGTACACTCATCACCTTTTTTTAAAAAAAAAAAATTGAATTATTTCAATTCCAACTTTCCATCCCCGTCATAACTTATAGGGCTTTCATCATATTTAGTCATTTTATAAGCACTTGCCTCTTGAAACAATAAGAAAATGTCTGTGTATTTTTTTTTTCATTTGTAATAAATTGCAATCAATCCATTAGATTTGAAATATGAACATTTCAAAATAACATTTCTTGAATGCATTTTCACATGTGTGTTGTTGGTTGGCAATTGCGCTTAATTTAACACGACAATGTAAACAAATCATTGTCGTGCGATGACATCAAATTGTGACTGTTGTTGCTGTTGCCATTGTAAACAATTTGAAAACCGGTAGATGTATGGCGTCTCGAAATAATAGACAATTATGCAAATTATATTTAATTTTTTTATTAACATTTATTAAAGGTATGATGGGTATACATCACGTAAGAAGCAAAATGTGTTAATTATTTATTATTGAGAGGTTATTGGCGGGGCTGGAAGTAGAATTTGTAATACTTTGTTTGGTGTTAACAAAAAACAAGGTTCTAATCGAATATATTTACATGGATAATTGAAAGGGTTAAATGAAATTCAATAGACAACTTGATTACAATATATTATTCTTAAAAATCTACCTAATCGTTGCATTAAACAAAGAATGTTATTTTATGTTTTGTGTCAGCGTACAATAGGTCTTGATATCGTTACCTAATCCATATTTCAGAATACTAATTTCAAATACAACAAGTAAAATAGTATCAGTCGGGTTTGCCGACAGATATATACCCCCCAGCCTTGAGTTATGATTATTCAAACTTTGTTGACTCTTTATTGGGGACGTTCCGAAGCAGTTGTCCAATATTGACCAATTCGTAGCTGACCTATAACTGATATAAATTTTACGACGTGACAGATTTGGACCATATCGACTACTTCCTTTACTTTATATGAGATATGTGTAAACTTTTGGAAAATTTGGAAATATGCATTAGACTACAGATATAGACAGATATACTTCATATAATACAGATAAAAATATTTGTAAGTGCAAAATGTGAAGGAAATCGAAAATTTATATCCAATTTCGATAAAATACATATTCATATCAGATTTCTGATTTAAAGAAATATTGTATGTTAATATAAGATTTTGGCCATGTTGGCTTATTTATATTGAATTGTATGAAATAAATGAAATGAACCTCCCCCAAAAATGGCTGAACTTTTGAATAACAAAAACCATCATATAATCCGAGAAAAGCATCCCGTTCTCTTCAAATTACACACATCATATTATTTTTATTAACCCAAGGTCTGGTGGCAAGAGGGAATATAACGAACCCCTCCTTGTGGTACCTTTCCCCAAATGGGTCAAAATTTTGAATAATCATGAAGCTCATAAAACACGAAATTAAGATCCGATTCCATTCAGGCTTGGCACATCTCAATATTTTCATAAACACAAGACCTGTTATAAACATGCTGGAGATCGGACCATTTCTTATATTTTCCCATAATATTTGAAAGTGTGAAATTTGAGGAGAGTTTGATGCTTATTTCGCTTTCTTTGAGCGTATTGTCTTTCAAAATTCTTAAACCCTATGTGGGGGAGGTATCAGAAGGAATTTTCCGATCTATACCATCTTTATAACAGATCTTGTGTTGATGGAAATATTGAGATGTGCCAAGTCTAAATGGAATCAGATGCTAATTTCTTGTTTTATGAGCTTCATGAATATAATGTGGAAGATATATCCCATCTTCACAGCAGATCTTGTGTTAGTAGAAATAATAGGATGTGTGAAGTATGAAGAGAACCGGATTTTAAAATCATTTTGGTTATTCAAAAATTTCACCATTTGTGAGGGAGGTACCACAAGAAATGGTCCGAACTCTGCCATCTTTATAACAGATCTTGTGTTGATGTAAATATTGAGATGTGCCAAGTCTGAATGGAATCAGATGCTGATTTATGAGCTTCATGAATATTTAAGTTTCATGAATGTTGACCCTTTGTGGGTGAGGTACCAGAAGGAGTGGACCGATATATTCCATTTTCACTCCAGATCTTGGTTTAATAAAAATAATGTGATGTGTGTAATTTGAAAACCATCGGACACTTAGGTCACATTTTATGAGAGTTATAATCATTCAAAATTTTAACCCTTTTTGAGGCTGGTACTTGATGGAGTGGACCGGTATAGTCCATTTTCGCACCTGGCTTAGAGCTGATGCAAATATTAGGACTTGCAAAGTTGGAGCAGAATTGGATTATCCTTTCCTTTTTATATCACCCTGTATTGAGAGACGAGTTTGGGGAACATTTTATTTCGCGTTCATGACCGGTCATTTGTCCCTCTAGACCAGCCCTGCTCAATACCGTGTTCTAGAACATCAGCCGAAAAAAGATATAATTTAAGAGAAAATTAAAATTTTGTGTTTCTTTATATTTTACGATGCCATTTAATTGTTTTTTTTTTTTAATTGTTTGCCAAAATAATTTTTAAAGCAAATGGATAAAAAATATTTGTGTAAATAATGACTTAACACTGTTTAGTTCTTGATTTAAATAAGCAAAGAGGAATTTGACTGGATAGAGATATTTTTTCTTAAGCAGCGCTGCTCTAGACTATTTACAGACGAGCCCGTTTCAATTGATGCCTTGGAAGACAATATTGAAGCATTCATTCTTGAGATTCTGGCCGAAATGTTGAAAGGAGTATGCCGAAATTGAACTAAGCGGATGAACGCGGAGCAGTCGCGATCAACATTTCCAAGAAATATATAGATCGTACTCTGAAATCAAATAAAAGTTTCATGTATTTCCCATGGCTCTTAAAGAAATCACTCTGATTGTGGATATGAAATTAATAAAAAAAATCACATTAGCAACAAATTCTTTACAAATTCTGTGGGCTTATCATTTACATGCTACAAATCTTGCCTGGCATCAACAGATAA